GAAAGACGTCGGCTGCACTGGCTTGCCGGGACTACGTGGACAAAAAGCTGACAGACACCCCCCATGGCTTGGAAGAGGCGCACTCTCACGTGGTCTCCACCCTTCGCACCGCTTGCGAAACTTATTTCCCGAAGGAGCTCAAAGAAGATGAACGCATCAGTGCACATCCTAGTTTTCGAGCCTCGGCAAGACGAGTCTGGCAACTTTATAAGGTGTACAAACAATTTCGTGGCAGGGCGACCATGAAGACCATCATGCAGCAATGGCGCACGTGGCAACAATTCCGTGTGGCGTCCAAGCAGCTCGCAAAGCAGACCAGGGAGATAAAGAAGGAGAAACGACAGCAAATTCTGTTCCAGGCTGAGCAGGCTGCTACGCGCGGTGACCAGCGTGCGCTCTACGCTCTCATCAAGCAGCTGACGCCCAAGCAAGCCGCCCGACGAGTGAGACTTCGGGACCCTCAAGGACGAGCGCTGGATAAATGGGGAGAGTCACAGCAATTTGCGGCTTACAGTCGAGAAGTTTTTGGCCGTCTACCCTGTACAACGGAACTTCATCCCATACAAGATGCCATTCCTAACGTAGGTCAAGCGCTTCGGTCGGGCCTTAACTCCCTTGGTATTCTGAAGGCTGTGCCAAAACACTCAGCACCCACTGCCATCTGGAAGCTTTGCAGTGACTCAGTGGTCGGGTGCCTGGAAAGGGCTGTGGCGAACACCTGGAAGCCAGGCTCGGCCGGGCAAGTTCACGCTGCCGCAAAGGACACCTCCCTTCTTTGGCTCCCGAAGCCATCAAAGCCCCCTGACCAGGTGTCGAACCTAAGACCCATAGGGCTTATTTGCCCTGCAGGCAAGATGCTCAGCAACATCCTTCGGCAGCCCTTGCGCGAGGCCCTTGCTAGAGCCTGCACGGAGCTACCGCAATTCGCCTATGTCACAGGTCGCAGCACCACGGACGCTTTGCTCCGCGTCCACCAACACTTCGAGGACGTGCAGGACATCCTAGACGCCAATCGCTACAATCGCTATCAGCTCCATGACAAACGCCAGCCAAGCATGTGCTTTGGAGGTATATGTCTTTCGCTGGACTTGGCTAAAGCATTTGATTCAGTTGACAGAGAAAAAGTCTATGCTTCTTTGTATGAATTACAAGTGCAGCAAGATATTATTCAGCTGGTCAAGCAATTTCATATAGAGGCATGCTACCATACAGAGTGCGGCCCATACACCACCAAAACGACAACTTCAACTGGAATCAAACAAGGATGTAAGATTGCGCCGTTCTTGTGGGGGTGCTTTTCTGTTTCCCTGCTCAAGGAGCTGGCTCGACGCAGGAGCTTACAATGGGTACAGCAGGCGCTGACCCTATTTGCTGACGACACATGGGCAAATTGGACAGTGAACACCCTAGCCGATCTTGTCACAGCTCTTGCTGATCTACAGGTCATCCTTGAGGTTCTAGAGGACTTTGGACTCACGGTTAACTACACGAAAACAGCGGTCCTTTATCAACTCAAGGGGAAGCAGGCAGACGTCTGTTTACAGCGCCTTCTTGTCTACAAGCGAGGCAAACCCTATTTTCAGCTACAGGTCAATGGACGCAAGCAACTGCTCCCCATCAAGGACCGGCATGAGTATTTGGGCACAGTAGTGACATACACTCAGCGCATGAGCCGCAACATCGTGCACCGAACAGCCAAGGCAAAGCACAGACGTGAATCCCTCAAACCCACCTTGCATGCTCACAAGCACATCTCAGTCAAGTATAGGCTTCGTGTTTGGCAGGCCTGTGTGGAGAGCAGTCTTCTGTACTCTTTAGAGGCGTTGGGAGTGGATTGGCATGGCATGAAACAGCTTGAAGTTCTCACACTTCGACACCTTCGAGCGATACTATGCATGCCAGCGCATCTTACCCATACCACAAATCAGGCTGTGCAAGATGCGTCTGGTCTTCTGCCTTCGCTGCGCACCTTGCTTGGCCGCACAATGCGCGTCCAGGAGCGTCTTTTTCAGAAGCAATTGGACACGCCGTGCGACATTACCTGCCAGCCCGCGCTCCTCGCCAGGATTCAACGTCGCATCACCATGCTGACGGAGTACCTCAATCAGCCGGCAGGAAGCTTGCTGAAGATGGTGCACGCTGACAAGCCAGTGCCGTGTGATGTGTGTGGGCAATACTTTGTTCACGAAACTGCCATGCGTGTCCATCGGTCTAAGAAGCATCAGGACGCAGACCCTCTCCCTAGCAGCCGACCCCAAGTCAAGTTCCAAGGACACCTACATGCTGTACGAGGCCTCCCCCAGTGCACCCTGTGCGGCTCCAAGCTTCAAACGTGGAGAAACCTGAAGCAGCACATCGAGACGGGTGCCTGCCCTAGGCTGGCTGCGCAGGTTGGCGTGGCAGAAGAGCCAACGCAGAACGAGATGGCCCAGGACACACCTTTTGCGTTGCTTCCCAAACTACTCTCCACCAAGCAGTCCTGGGGGGATGTCTTACAGTGGCCCGAGGCCAAAAGCATGCTTGCCCAGCACTGCGCCTTTTGCAACATGTGGATATATGGCCCAAGACAGCTGAAGGTCCACATTCAGCGCACACACGGCAACATTTATTCCAAGTATCACCTTCAGGCCAAGCGACTTTGTCAGCAGATGCGCGCTAGATTTTCTTATAAATTTCCTTGCACGTACTGTCAGCGAAAGGTCACCGCCCCAGGGCAGCATTCGTGGCAGTGCAACGTGGCCTTCCAAGTAGTGCTGGCCTGGCTCCAGCTGCACCATGGCGAACGCCTTCATGGAGATGATGCGACACATGTCGCCGGACGAGGAGGAAAGGAACCCCGAGACAGATCTCTTCCAGCACATCCTCCCTTCCTTCCGGGGACAACCGAGCCAACCTCAGCCCCAGGAAGGCGGGAAGAGGCGCCGCTCAGAACAGGGCCACTCCAAGCACGACGTGGAAAAAATGGTGACGCACCCGCTCTTCAAAGAGATGACAAAACTTCTCCTCAGACACGAAGACCAGCTCAATACGGTCAACATGGACCGCGGCTATGTCCTTTTCTTAAAACAGGACAACTACAGTGTGGTCCCCTCCCTGGTCCAGGTCCAGGCGGAGTGGCACCGACGCCGACAACAGGAACCCTCCACGATTACTTCGCCGTTGCGGGTCGTGATGCTAGCCTGCTTGGTCCGGGAGCTAAGAAGTCGACTCGAGTCACTCCGCGCCAGCCCAGAGGCCACGACAAAGGCTGCCAATATGGGATGGCTTCAGGAGGGAAAGTGGACCTATCTTCAATGGAGCCCAGCAGAGAAGAGGCTCAAAGTCAACCCGCTGCTGGACCCTGTCACCATGGAGACCATGCACAGACAACTCGCCCGGCTCGAAGTCCTGCTCCAAGGGGAGGTGATCCAGAAGTTCACATCGACAAAAGCGGTGGCGAAACTCCAGGAGAACGAACGTTTCTGTTGGAGGTCAGCACCCTGGGCAACCCAGCCTGGGAAGTTCACCAGATCCTGCAGGCACTAGTGGGGAGCGCTGTGCTCTCTCTGGTTGGCGGCCAATTGAAAAAGGCCACGCAGCGGCGCTCAGACTTGGCCCAGCGACTGCAGAAGCTCGTTCTCGGCGGCAACGGTGTCTGATGCAAGAGAGTCTGGAGGCGCGACAGCTTCTCGACGTGCAGCTGCTTAATGCGACCAACATATGTTACATTAACAGCATGGTTCTGGGGCTGCTTTGGATGTACCTCGAAGCTGGCATGCTACATGCCGTGCCTGCACCTTTTCGCCAGGTCCTCTCACGAGCTACAAACAGCGCGATTTTCGCGCTACGATTCTACATGGTAGGATGGCCGAAGCCTCATTGTCAGCACGATTGGGTGGAGTTCACAGCTTTCCTGTTGCCTCAGCTACCTGGAGGTTCTTTTCGGGGCTATTGGTCTGGCATTCGTCTGGACTCGGGGAGAGTCCGCATCACTGATCGAGGCCGGCTTTCTCATGCCATTGCACTTAGTACACCGGTGAAACCCACAATGAGTGTACAGCAGCTGCTCTACAATTGGCAGGCGCAGGAGGCTTGCTACGCACTGGATGGTGAGGCTGACATGATTTTGCTACAACTTCCCCGCTTTGCAACAGTTCGAAGAAACGTACAAAAGCTCACCCAGCCCTATGATATCCCACACCTGCTTCAGGTTCCGATTCATCTTCGAGAACAGCCGGGGGACGTCAGGTGGGCAACTTATCGTGCAGTTATATGCGTGCAACACCTGGGAGCAACGACGCAGGCTGGACATTATCAGACGGTGATGCTCAGCAGTCAGGGGTCATGGATCACAGACGACGCGGCCCAAGCTCAGCCATTGTGCCAATCGCAGATACAACAATTACAATGTAACATGTACGTGGTCGGTTGTGTGCGTCACTGATCCATATTTTCACACATACAGTGCTGGTGCGGGCCTCGGGGCAGCAAAAAGATGGATCGTATACTGCCGCTGGCGATACACGTGCATTCATAGCCACTTACGCTTCACACTCTGGCTTTTCTGGATGGTGGTTGTTATGTGGCTGTTCACAGTGCAGGAGCCCTGCAGCAACTGAGTGCACTTAACGACTGCGGCTCTGATACAACTCATCGGCTCTGAGCGCGCTTGGCAGTTCAATCAAACCTCACTGTATAGTAGTGATTTTGCCCATCTGACACTTCGTCTTTTTCCTCACTTTCCCCAATTGTTTGGCTCTTTGCCATCATTTACGATTTCCGCTTCAGTTCTTGCTGTCAGCATCCTCTTTGTGGGCTGCGGCCTGGGGGTGTTGATGCTAGCTTAGTCGTTAGTTCGCTTCGGCTGCCGTCATTGAACGGCCATTGTTTCCCAACAATGTAGCTCGTGTCACTAGCTCGGGATTCCCCCTGCTGTGGAGAAAGAAAGAAAGAAAGGGAGGGGGAGGGGGGGGGGGGGGGCTGGGTGGGGGGCGCCGAATGTTCTTATCGCAATATGCCTATCACAATGTGCTAGCCATCAACCTAGTTACAAAATTTGTCAATTATGTAGACGTGTCAACCTGATAACGTATAAGAATGACTAAACAAATTCTGCCGATAATAGTAGTGCTGAGCATTCTAAACTTGATAAGCACGCAGAGAGGATCTATAAACGGATTTGGGAGGGGAGGGGGAGGGAGGGGGCGGGGGGGAGGGGGGAGGGGGGTTCCGGGGGTTTCGGGATTGCTGTACTATCGGAAACCGGTGCCAGGTGGCTGATGGTGAGGGAGGGCCCAGGGTTTGGGGTTTGGGGTTTGGGGCTTGAAGCTTCGCCGCAAAGCTGTGAAGGGCGAATGCTTCTGAGCTATGGCCTGATGGTAGGATGGACATCATGATGCCCCCAGAGCCCAATCCCGTACTTAAGGAATATACCTGAAGGCAAAGCTAGGGATCCTCGTACAAATTTACGTGTTTTTTTCCTCAGTCAAGGGGCAGTGGAACCAAAACCCCAAACCCTACATCCTTCCTTGATTGAAGAGGTATTGGGCTCTCATGATACCTTGCAAGTACATTTTTCCCTAAACCCTAAACCCTCAACCCTAAACACATCCAGGGAGGAATGTAGCCTGCCGCGGGCACCTTGAGAACAGCGTCAGTGAGCAGCAGTGTTTTGCTTTTCCGGTGGAAGAACGCCGTCTCCGCGTACCTGGGTTTTGGGCTTCGGGGAGGTTTGGGGTTTAGGGTTCTATGCCGCACTGTAAAACACTGTCTTGCAAGCATGTGCATTTTGGTCGGGTGTGAATATTTTCAAACTTCGGTAATGGTTGAACAAGATGAAGCCCTAAACCCTAGACCCTAAACCCGAAACCCTAAACCCTAAACCCTATAGAACAGTGTAGATTGATGGGTTCAGGTGGAGAAAGGAAGGAGTTCATTAAACTGAAAGCGCTGCCAAGGGCAGGCGAGGCGCGTGCCTGCAGTGTCAGGGGGCTCCACGAAGAACACCTTCAAGGAACAGCTGAGGGTTTAGGGTTTAGGGTTTAGGGTTTAGGGTTTAGGGTTTAGGGTTTAGGGTTTAGGGTTTAGGGTTTAGGGTTTAGGGTTTCGGGTTTCGGGGTTAGGGCTGCAGACAAAAAACCCTGCAGCATTGGTCGTTTAGGACGCCGACTTGCGTGCTGCATTCTCGGATGTCGTGCGCAGGAGAAGCCGAAACTTTACCTCCTAAGGTGTCTGCCCCGCGTAAAGCAAACCAAGGTATATAGCTCTTCTATGTAGTCAAAGGTCCATGGGCTATGAGACATGAGAGTAACGATCAGAGGCTAAACTGACCAATAAACCCTAAACCCTAAACCCTAAACCCTAAAGTAGCAAAACGGAACCCCTGCAGATCACTTCTACCAAGAGCCCTGGGCCGACCCGACCCCCCCCCCAAGCTACGAACTGCCCTCAACACATCTGAACTACAGTCCCCTTGGGAATTCCTTTGCAAGTTCTTTTTCATAGAACCCAATAGGGAATCATAACAATGTTGTTTTTCTATTTAGGTTCTAAGGACCCTAAACCCTAAACCCTAAACCCTAAACCCTAAACCCTAAACCCTAAACCCTAAACCCTAAACCCTAAACCCTAAACCCTAAAGTGTAGTGAAGAGGCGCCTTGTAGTCGATCTCGTTCTCCCAGGGCGGGGAGCCCGCTCCCAGGATGCCGTCCACATGCGAGCCAAGGGACGGATCCTGAGTTCTCCAGTAACCCCAAGGGGAAAAAAGGGGTTTAGGGTTTAGGGTCTAGGGTTTAGGGGATGGGGTTTAGGGTTTAGGGTTTAGGGTTTAGGGGATAGGGTTTCGGGTTTCGGGTTTCGGGTTTCGGGTTTCGGGTTTAGGGTTTAGGGTTTAGGGTTTAAGGCAAAAAAGTTAAAGTTCGACTATTGGCGAAGCAAGGATCGAATGGAGATGCCTTCTGCCCTGGCGACACCCACACACTGGCCTTGGGATAAAGCCTTGGTCGCCCAGGAACCGTATCTTATTATGATGATAAGGGCACGCCCATTTCGGGGTTGGGTACATCTATACGGGAAGCCCAACACCAAAAAAACAAAAGGGCCAAGGGCATCAATGGGCCGCCAAGAAGCTGTGAGAACTCCGACAAGGAGGCTTTGTGCTCCAAAGCCGTTCCGGGCACCACCAGGTGTGCCACTTCCCCGAGTTCATCCAGCAGTTGGCAGCACTGCCTTCTCCAGGGACCCTTAGAAGCGGTTTAGGGTTTATAGGGTTTAGGGTTTAGGGTTTAGGGTTTAGGGATTCTATCCCCTGATGCCTCGTGGGTGAAATGGGCCCACACACCCACAGCCGACCGTCCTCCAGACGCACGACGATCATGCGAATGTTCGCAGAGACCGTGAAGAAGGCGATGACCTGCTCCAAGCCCCAGATGCCTGGAAGCAGCTCCGACCTCTGCGTCTCCTTGAACGCCTTCGGGGGCCACAGAGTTGGCCCCGAGGGCGCGTAGCGGTCATCCCGCCGCAACACCGCATCGGCCGCAGCCGCTGCGGCAGCAACGGCTGCGACGCGGCGTGGCACATCCGAAGCCTCTGCTTTGCAGAGTGTGCGGCCAGGCCTGCCACTAAACCGGCCGGCGCGCGAGGCCGCGCAGACGAACGCAAAGGACGTCATGGAAGCCAGGCTGGGGGTCCGCGTCATGGAAGCCAGGCTGAAATTCAGCCTGCGTGGGTGGTGCTGGCGGTGTCCCAAGGAGGTCTCGCAGCTGGGGACAGCCACTTTTGGGCTGGCGAGACCAGCATTGGAGGCGACCAGCATCTTCTCCATAGCACAAGGCGCAGATGTGAGGCACGCCGAGGGGGGTTTATGGGGCTTGCGGGGGAGGGGGGAGCTCTTGCAAACTGCGGCTGCTATACACAACGCCTCACAAGGCAGCTACCAGCATGATTGAATCGGAATCCCAGAGCTTAAAAATCAGTAAGCATGAAAGTAAGGGCATACATGATACATACACGTACATACACATGTCATATACATATACATACTGAATAAGACATGCACCCTACACTTATCATCCTCATAGAGGAATCTTCCCGAATTTATCTTCGGCGTTCCAGCTTTGAAAGCAGGCACCGGAACAGTCTTCATGGTCGCCAGTTTTGGGTTGGGTGTGCCGGAGGTGTAGGGGTACTGCTGTCAGCTGCAGTGATCAGGAGGGCCGGGGGGTGGGGTGGCGTAGCAGAACACTCGATAATGTGGGCTTCGATATGCGAGACCCCTCTCCCCCCCACCCGAGGCTGAATGTTCATGGCTCTGCACCCCAAACCAAAACCCTATAATCCTAAACAAAACCCGAAACTCTGCACCGAAACCTTGAACCCTAAAGCCTAAAACCTGTGTAGAAGAACCTCCTTTACACCTTAGCCGGGCCCGGTGATCCTCTTAAACCGCAACCTAACTCATAAACCCCCAAAAACCTGAAGCTTCATAGACCCTCATAACCCCAGCCCTCCTAAACCCTAAACCCGAAACCCTAAACACCCTCGAGCCGGACGCAGAACCTGTGGGTGTGGATGCTGGGAAGATCCGTCCGACGTGTCGTGTGCGATTCGCACTTCCTCAGCTCCGCAGGAGCTTTTGGGGGAGGATACAGGGCCTTTAGGGCCTTTAGGGTTTAGGGTTTAGGGTTTAATTAGGGTTTAGGGGTTTAGGGGTTTAGGGTTTAGGGTTTAGGGTTTAGGGTTTAGGGGTTTTGGGATCCGAAGTATGGGCCCTGAACTTGGGTCCCTTGCGATATAGCCCATTGATACACTACACATAATAAGGCGTTTAATAAGGTCCCCCTATAAACAAGGAAGGGTAAGGGACCACACCACGAAGGGCCCATTGTTCAAACCTCAGACTTCATCTCGGGTTGTTCAGGCTTGGGATTTCGGGTTCGCATCAGGAGTGGAACTGTGTTTAGGGTTTAGGGTTTAGGGTTTCGGGTTTAAACGCCCAAACCTCTAAAAGCTAAACCGCCGAGATCCCATGTTGAAGGGTAGCTACCTGATCCCTGAATCTGAATGTGGGTGCTTAACTGGGAAATCTGGTATGCCCCTTCTTTTGCCCACTTATTCCCACAGGGCGCACTGAACCCTGCAATAAAACCTTCATACCCTCACCCACCGCTCCGAATCAACCCCACTCCGCCCAAATCCTTTGCCAGGTTAGCCCTTGGAACGCTCTGACACAACTCCTCGGAAAAGAACTTAAAGCCTACGCCCATTGCTTCCTGGATTGATGTCTTGAGTTGAACCGCAAAGAAGCATCGTACTCGGCAAAACATCGTCTAGATCCAGGAGTACCCTAGGAATAAGAAGTGTACCCTTTTGGCTTTGAAGGGGACTATCAGGGAACCCCAACCCTAATGACAGGAAATAAGGGCCTGCGCCGGCTCCTACTATCCCTACGTAAACCCTAAACCCTGAACCCGAAACCCTTAACCCTGAACCGAAAAAACACCGCATGTAAGCATACCGGGCTATATCCATGTCATACCAACGCAGCTCACTGTAGTTGGTATTCAGTACCTCAAGCTCCTTAAGCTCTGAAACTTCAAGTCTTTACAGAAGCCATTGAAGGTTTAGGGTTTAGGGTTTAGGGTTTAGGGTTTAGGGTTCAGGGTTCAGGGTTCAGGGTTCAGGGTTCAGGGTTTAGGGTTTAGGGTTTAGGGAGCCGAGGGGCGGCTTTTCGGCAGCAGATCTGCGCCCGGAATCTCAGCTCGCCCCGGTCGTTGAGCCAACCCTGGACGGGTTTGGGTTCTGGGTTTAGGACAGGGTTTAGGGTAGGTCGGTCTTGTGGGTTGAGTCGGAAGTGAAACAAGCCATAGCAAACGGGTTTAGGGTTTAGGGTTTAGGGTTAAGGGTTTAGCGTTAAGGGTTAAGGGTTTAGGGTTTAGGGCTTAGGGTTTACGTCTTAGGGTCAGGCTCTCAAATCGACCCCCCCCCCCCCCCCCTCCCCGATGGTATCCCTCCCCCAGACCCTGCCCGTTTACCCTAAAAACACCACGGACCACAGGGGGGGAGAGAGACCTAAACCCCAAACCTGAACCCCAAGCCCTAAAACCTAAACCCACCAATGAACCACAGGGGGGCGAAGGGTAACCCGAAACCCTAACCGCTTTAACCCCGAACCGTAAACCCAGCACGAACCACACGGGAGAGGGGAAACCATAAACCTACCATTCCCCCAAACCTTGAACCCTAAACTCTAAACCCACCGTAAACCAATGGACCAAAAGGGGGTCAGAGTGAAAATCTTGAAATCTACAGCCCATGAACCACGGGAGAGGGGTGGGGGCGATTACCGTGGCCAGGGGGGGGGGGAGGGTGCGCGAATGCTGGCGCATATTTTAGGGGTTTAGGGGGACCAAGTAGAACCAGGCCCTCGCGATTTGCGAGTTGCGGTGGGTTTAGGGTGAAGGGTTTCGGATTTAGGATTTAGGGTTTAGGGTCTAGGGGTTTGTTTCGACGTACGCATGACATCTAGAACACGCCTCGCCGGACACACAGGACACAAACCCCAACTACCCAAAACCTTAACCTACGTGAATCGCAAGGCCGCGGACCCAGCTCGAAAAACCTACTCCCTAAACCCCGTGAATGAGCTACGGTACAGTATTGGCGCAGCCTCTACTTGGCCTACTTTTGTTTCCAGGAAAGCTACATACTAAACCCTAAACCCGAAACCCGAAACCCCAAACCCTAAACCCTACAACTGCAGTCCATTGCCTGCTCCATGGTCATGTTCTCTGCCGTGAGGAAGCCACGGTGCCAGCCATTGTCAACCTCTAAGCTAGGGTTTAGGGCTTAACGTTTAGGGTGCCTGTACAGTATATGCTTGGGCCTCAAAGGGATTCCAAAACAGCAGCTTTAGGGCCCAAGTATATACCTATGGGTACATGGACCCTTCGGGATGGTCTGGGCTTTGTGGTCTAAAACCTCCAGAAACTTGTATCGCACGGCTGGCAAAGTCCCTTGAGCCCTAAACCCTAAAACCCCAAACCCAAAACCCAAAACCCCAAACCCAAAACCCAAAACCCAAAACCCTAAACCCTAAACCCTAAACCCTAAACCCTAAACCCTAAACCCTAAACCCAATATCGGCTCAAGGTCCGGGGGTCAGGCGCATGCTCGCATCCTTTTTTATTATAGGACCCAAGTACCGACAAAAAAACAAACGCTCCTTGGATGCAATGGGCTATGACCAAATTGCCTTGGGCCTTTAGTTTAGTTTAGGGTTTAGGGTTTAGGGTTTAGGGTTTAGGGTTTAGGGTTTAGGGTTTAGGGTTTGGGGTTTAGGGTTTAGGGTTTAGGGTTTAGGGTTTAGGGTTTGGGGTTTGGGGTTTAGGGTTTAGGGTTATATAGGTTTAGGGTTTAGGGTTTGGGGTTTAGGGGTACCTGTTTCCTTTTGTGGGGGCCGCTTCGGGCGAACTGGAAGGCGCTTTGCTAAACCAGAAACTCTGAAGCCATAAAAAGGGCCCACGTATTGCACCGGCCGCACCCTAAACCCAAAACTCTAAACCCGAAACCCTAAACCCTAAACCCTGAACCCTAAACCCTGAACCCTAAACCCTAAACCTCAGACTGTACGGTGCCAGCGGCCTGGGATTTTTTCGGGCCATTGGGTCTCAAAGCCAGTGATAGAGGCCTACCTTAAGAAGCCAAAGCAAACTTTCTTGTAGAGCTCTTACTACATAACTTCTTATAGGATGATTCGGGTTTAGGGTTTAGGGTATAAGCATGTAGGTTTGCCCCGCTAGTGGCCTCGTTGTGGCTGAAGTGAAACTTGTGCTCCTTAGACACCTGGGGAGCTCGTGCATCACTTTGTTGGGTTCTTAAGGGCGGGTGGTTCTCAAGGGGTGTATGTATCCCAAGGTTCCCCAAATTCTCCTCACTCCTCCCAAGGGCTCCCTAGGCTTCCCTTTAAGGTTCCTTCGGTCCCTACCCTCCCCATGAACCCCCCTCCCTTAAGAACCCATAAACCTGGGGAGCTCGTAAATCAGTCGGGGCGTGGTTCAGCCTCCTAAAACCTCGAACCTTCCTACGGTTTGCTCAAGAACCAAAAACACAACGACAACAATCCTACATTACCCTTATACGGAAGAATGTGTTTTTATTTGGGGTCTCAAGCAAAAAAAAGAAGCTTCAACCCTACACCCGGAGCTCTGTTAGTTTCGATATACTCCCTAAACCCTTAACCCCAAAGCGTCAACCCCAAACCCTAAACCCCAAACCCCAAACCCTAAACCCTAAACCCCAAACCCTAACCTTTAAACCGTACTCTGCGGCCTTGGGTCCGCCATGGTGGCCCTCAGGATTCGGGGTACTTGTCTAAGGTGGTCCCTTTTGGGGGGTCCTTATGATCAGCCGGCCCCTCTGACTTAGTAAGGGTTTAGGGTTTAGGGTTTTTGTTGTTCAGGGTTCCCAACAAGGGCACCAAAACGTACAGAACTCATGATTTGGGGCCCCCCCTCCATTTCTTCCCCACCAGCTTCCCCCCCATAGTTGAGACTATTTAGGGATACTTAAGCCCAACCTAGGGGGTGTAGTATAGAGGGGGGTAGTAGCATAGTGACCTACCAGTTGTGCCGTAAGCAAGTAAGAAACTAACCCTAAGTAGGGAATGAGGTACCCTATATATACCCTTTAAGGGATTATATAGGGTACCTCACTCCCTCATTCCCTACTAAAGACCAAGGGGAAGATGCAGGAAGGAACACAGCATGATGGCTTCTCGAAGCATTTCTTGGTTCGAGTTCCCTAAATCTTAAATCCTCAATCCTA